CACCAGCCTCGTCTCACGCGACTTGCTGGAAAAGAGTTCAGTGACTAAATTTTTATTCATTCTTCTCAATTAATCCTTATCTCTAAATCCTGTCTCTTATACACATCTAGATGTGTATAAGAGACAGGGGTTGCAGAGTACAGCTCGGGGTGTGCACGCTGCACGTCATCAAGCAGGACTTCCCCCTCAAGTGGCCGGGGCTGGTGGAGAGCATCCAACTCTACCTCTCCAACCCCGACACCAACGTCTGGCCCGGCGCCCTACTCTGCTTATATCAACTCACCAAAAACTATGAGTTAGCTTCACTATATATATATATCTGTATTGTATATTTTATCTGTATTAAACAGTAAACGTAGCCCTGCTCCACCATATATATCTGTATCTTATATTATGTCTGTATTAAACAGTAAATGTAGCGCCTGGTTTAGATGTGCACCTGTTCTTGTTGAGAATTTCTTAATAATTTCAAAGTGAGTGTATTCATTTCCTATTGAATTATAATCTCGTGAAATGACTCGCTTTCACTGTTGAAATTGTGTCAATTATATCAACTAACTTCTTGGAATCAGATTATTTCTTTCTCTTGTTTGTTTTAAATTTGTTAGATTAATGTTCATTGTTGAATCGTGTCAGAAATATCAAACAAAATTCATGGAATCTTACTAATTTACTGAGCCACGTTATTCACGTTCTCAGACACATTAAGACCTCATTAATTCCCGTTTTCAGACACATTAATACCTCATTATTCACGTTTTCAGACACATTAATACCTCATTAATCCCGTTTTCAGACACATTAATACCTCATTATTCCCGTTTCCAGGTACAAGAAGGGCACAGAGCGACAGCCGCTGTTGTCAGCAATGTCAGCGCTGCTGCCGATGCTGTACGAGCGCCTCGTGCACCTCATGCAGCCCCAGACCGACCATCACATGCTCATACAGAAGCAGATCCTCAAGATCTTCTACGCCCTCATCCAGTTCCAGTTCCCCACTGAGGTCCTCCCACGACCCACGCTCACGCAGTGGCTTGAAGCCCTCCGTCAGATCCTCAGCAGAGGGGCGGTGCCCCCTGGAGTGCCCCTCCCTCCTGAAGATGAGGACCGGCTTGAGCTGCCCGGGTGGAAGCTGGCCAAGTGGGCCCTGCATATCCTGAACAGAATATTTGAGAGATATGGCTGCCCCAGCACCGTGGCTCCTGAACACAAGACCTTCGCGTCCTGGTACCTCAAGACCTTCAGTGAAGGCGTCCTTCAGGTCAGTACTTGGTGGATTGGGATAGTCAAAGGGCGTGGTCTGAAGGGGCTGCAGGTGCCTTGTGGCTTGGGGGAGGCAAGGGGCGTGGTGTGTAGTGATCTGCAAGTTCGTGGTGTATCAGAGGGGCTGCACACATCTTATAAAAATGGTTACCCCCAAATTATTTACTAGTTGCACCCTGAATCTTGTCTCCTTAAACCTTCATCGTCTAAACCAAATTATACGTAGTAATGATATAACAATGACTCACTGGATTGTTGAAGGGGCTGTATTAATAATATAATAACTTCATGCCTTGTTGGACCAATACCGCAATGGTGCTAATAATAACCTAATAAGTCAATACCTTGTTGCAGGTGCTGCTCAAGATCATGGACCAGTACCGCAATGGTGCTAATAACCTAATAAGTCAATACCTTGTTGCAGGTGCTGCTCAAGATCATGGACCAGTACCGCAATGGTGCTAATAATAACCTAATAACTCAATACCTTGCTGCAGGTGCTGCTGAAGATCATGGACCAGTACCGCAACGGGGAGTACGTGTCGTCGCGAGTGATGCAGCAGACGCTGGTCTACATAGAGATGGGTCTCGGTCAGGCCCTCATGTGGAAGCTGGTCGCCCCCCACATGCTCCACGTGCTCCAGTTTGTGGTCTTCCCCCTGATGTGCCACAGCGACAAGGATCAGGAACTGTGGGACTGTGATCCCGCTGAATATATACGACAAAAGAACGATATTTATGAAGATTTAGTGTCCCCAGTCTCGGCGGCGCAGAACGTTCTCGCTACGTGCGTTCGCAAACGTAAACAAATGCTTGAGAAAGTCATGGCGTTCGTGATGAACGTTTTGAACACCCCGAATGTTGATCCCAGACACAGGGAAGGAGCGTTCCATATGATAGGAAGTCTCGGGAGTATCCTGATGAAGAAGGATGTGTACAAAGAACAGATGGAGGCCATGTTAGTTCAGTATGTGTTCCCTCAGCTGAACAGTGAACACGGCTACCTCAGGGCGCGCTCATTCTGGCTACTCCAACACTTCACTGAGATCAGGTAATTCTTATTAATCAAAATATTAAAATTAAATAATCAGCAATAACGATCATTACGCAAATGTATATTAAGCTTTTCTTGATACATTGCGCTTGTTCTGTCATTAAGTATATGTTTCACCTCTGCCCATTAATTTACTGCTTGTAAGTGTTATATTTCTCTCATCATCTGCATTGCATGTCATGTGTTTGAAGAAATAACATTAAAGCATTTATTCCTGCCATCCCATATCAACTAAGTGCAACACAACTCCGGTGACCGTTCTATTTCTCCTCTCCATCATTATCGTTTATTTTTCATTCCTCGTTAGTTATACCTGCTGTCTATTTTCCTTCATCTTTCCTGCTATCCAATCCATTGCTCCTTAGTCATACCTCCTATCCATTTCTCCTTCATCTTTCCTGCTATCCCATCCTCTTAGTCATACATCTAATCCATACCTGCTATCCCTTCCTTATTCATCATACTTCCATTGTAAGTAATGCCAAACCAGGTGAAATTTTTTGTGGTGAATCGGTGGAAGGGCTCAGGCAACATTTAGGAATGATAAACTTAGTTTTATATACGTGTTGTGCGGATATTTATAAGAGGTTTACCATTTGCTTCAAAACTTCCAAGCTTGCTGATCAGCTGGTAGAACTGTTCAGATTTGCTGGTATTTACGTCTAGGTACTGAAAAGACATTTAACCTATTGCAAAGGATTTCCATCACTAACAATTATTTGTTATAATACCTGGACTCTAACGCACCTTCCTGTGGCAGGTGGTCTTCTACTGACGGAGGTCTACCCAGGAACCTGAACCACGCAGTGAGCGCCTCCGTGAACGCGCTGCTCACAGACACAGCCCTGCCCGTGAAGGTGGAGGCGGCGATGGCCATATCCATCTTCATAGCCACGCAGGACAGGGTGGAAGAGGTCCTCAAGCCACAGATGGCCAGCATCGTCAGGGAGCTCGTCAAGCTCATCCAGCAGACGGAGAGTGACGACCTCACCAACGTCATGGCCAAGATTGTGGCGAGCTACAGCACCCATCTGGCACCCATTGCTGTTGATATTGCCACGCAGCTCGCTATAACCTTCCAGCAGGTACTTGTAACACGCCATTACCTTCCAGCAGGTACTGTAGTGCGCTATCACATTCCAGCAGGTACTTGTAACATGCTATCACCTTCCAGAAAATACTTGTAGCACGCTATCACCTTCCGGCAGGTACTTGTAGCACGCTATCACCTTCCAGCAGGTACTTGTAGCACGCTATCACCTTCCAGCAGGTACTTGTAGTACGTCATTCTTCCAGCAGGTCGCCAAAATAAACAGGGTCGCCGTTTTTCGCCCAATTTAACGCGAGAAACCTGTAACACATAAAATGGCGAAACTTTTTTTTCAAGCCGCCGGGAAATAGAACGCCGGTTATATAAATTTTTCTCGGTTATATCCAACTGTGTGAATTCATAGTTCGACGGGCACAAACTTTTTTGTACAATCGCCTTCTATGTTCAATGCTTGCACGTATATATCCTCGGTATCTTTAGCTGGGGATGCCATAATGCAATGTAAGTTGCGGTGTTAGTAATGCAATGTTTGCCATAATTAAATGAAAGTTATGGTGTTTGTTATGTCATGTTTGCCATAATGCCATGTAAGTTACAGTGTTTGTGATGGCATGTTTGCCATAATGCCATGTAAGTTACGGTGTTTGATATCTCCATATTTTATATTATATCATTGATTGTTTTGGTGGCATCCCGTAAGCATTATGGAGTTTGCATTATTGGCTATAACCGTAACTTAAAGTTCACCTGTTGATTGAATAATTAGTATAATTCGGCTGGATGATCAATGCCTGATGCCTCTAGCTGCTTTGAGTCAAATATTGAGTATAATTAATGCCGGGATATTCCATATAATTTTATTATACTGAATTTATATATTGAATTTATACTGAATTTATACTTATTTTATACTGAATTTATATTCAGTATAAGTCGACTGACTTATATTTACTGACAATGACTGCATGGGCTTATATGTAAATATTAAAATTAATTTAACTAAATGGCCTGGAGGTCTGAGAGTTAAGTATTATGTATAATTTTTCTGGATAATGAATGCCTAGATGATTCAGTATGATTTGGATTTTTGATCAATTACTGCATATTCAGCATAATTCGACTGTATGATCTATGTGTCTTTATCTTGATCTATGTCTTGATGTACCTATGTCTTGAACTTGATCTATGTCTTGAACTTGATCTATGTCTTGAACTTGATCTATGTCTTGACCTTGATCTATTCAAGTGTATGATATTTATGACCAATATGTGCAGGTGCTCAACAGCGATGACGGGGCAGACGAGCGCGCCATCACAGCGATGTCACTTCTCAGCACCGTGGAGACGCTGCTGAGCGCCATGGAGGAGTCTCCGGAGATCATACTCCAGCTGGAGCCTATAGTCCTCAGCCTCGTGGGCATGATACTCGACAAAAACATCATGGAGTTCTATGAAGAAGCTTTATCCCTGATCTACAACCTGACCTCTAACCACATCAGCGCCGAGTTGTGGCAGTGTTACGATATGTTGCATCGTCTCTTCTCCACCGATGGCTTCGATTATTTCATGGAGATGTTGCCAGCCCTGCATAACTTTGTGACGGTTGACACGCCTGCTTTCCTGTCTGTGGAGACCCGTCTGCCTGCGCTCTGTCAGATGTGAGTGTGGAACATGGTGGTATTATAATATATAATATATACTGTTCAAATGTACTTGTGGGTGGAGATGTGTCCCTTTCCAGCTGTGATTGGCTGATAGGATCATGATGTCATGCTATCCAGACTGATTGGCTATGCAATATCCTTTCCATTGGCCATTTAAAACCCCCCTAGAATCCCACCATGGCTGTGGAAACACTCTTGGCCCCTACCTGCGTATGTCACTGTCTGGGAACATAACTTTTACATCAAAATTATGCATTAACTGTCAACAGTAGCGACCGGAAGACAGTTTTTACCTGAAGAGAACATGTTTAAGTTGACGTACGTGACAGCAAGTGTCAATAAAAGTTGTTTGGTGCTCAGTGGGTGGGTATATGTTTCAGGGGTCAGAATAGTTAATGAGATATTTTAGGTGGTAGAAGGTTAAAAATAATCATGGAATTATATATTCTGTCAATTTATTCGTGCATTGTCTCTGACTTTACACAAGAGTGCAAAATTTGTTGCAGACAGACAAACTAACTAGAAGTGACGTTAAAGAGAAGTGTTGTAAAAAAAAAAGTCTGACTGGCGTTCTAGTGGCCTGCCGCTCCATGAAAACGAACTATTTTTGCTGTCTTTATCTAATGTCGTACCTACTGTAAAGGTATTTTGTGTGGAATTATAAGAATAACGGCGAGACAGTTCTTTCACGTGGCAGTCGGCCACTGAAATGCCGGTAAGACTGTTTTATAATGATTTTTCGATCAATACAAGAGCCAATTAATTTGAGATTTTTATATTGGCGATACAATATCAATCCAATACAAACTGATCCAATGAATAATGTCAAATGCTATTTGCACAGTACGTGGTATTGTTGATAATGTAATAGACTGAATTCTATTGTTTCAATGGCGCAGCTGTTATAGTATTGTGTCACATTATGTATGGTATTGTAAATGATATTCTATTACCTATATTGTATTCTAAAATATTTTATGATGCTGTTGCCTATCACTATGAGTATACTGTATTACGATGTCTATATTGCCGTAGGTGCTAAAATATTCTTATTCTTTTTATGAAATTTTAGATGATACTTTATTGGGTTGTATTGTAAATACTTTAATGCCGTAGGTGCCAGAGTATCACGTATCACTCATGTATCAAATATGATATTGTATCTGTGCTATACTATATTGCTGTAGGTGCCAAAGTATCCATACTCTTTGCATGAAATTTTAGATGATACTTTATTTAATTGTATTACAACGTCTATATTGTCGCAGGTGCCAGAGCATCCTGACGAAGGGCGAGGACGAGGACTGCGAGTGCCACGCTGCCAAGCTGCTGGAGGTGGTGATCCTGCAGTGCTGCCCCCCGCCCCCCGTGCTCCAGGACATCGCCTCCCTCGTCCTGCAGAGGCTCCTAGACTCCAGTCGTGAAGACTCCAGTCGTGCTGTACAGACTACAGAGCTGCGCACCATGCTGCTCCAGGTGGGTGATGTACTGCTCTCCAGGTGGGTGCTGCACACCATGCTGCTCCAGGTGGGTGATGAGCTGCGCTCCTGGTGATCGCTAATGCAGCTCATCATGCTAATGGTGATCGCTGGACTGTACACCAACTCTGAAGTGATGTCTCTGCCTTTTCCTAGGTTGTGATCGCTGGACTGTACACCAACTCTGAAGTGATGTCCCTGTCTTTTCCTAGGTGGTGATCGCTGGACTGTACACCAACTCTGAAGTGATGTTGTCGGTGCTGGAGTCGAGCGCCGTGCCCAACACCAACATGTCGCTGTCGGAACACTTCATCAAGCAGTGGATAGAAGACGTTGATTGCTTCCTTGGCCTACACGACCGCAAGCTCTGCGTCCTGGGCCTCTGCACGCTGCTGCAGCTGGGGCCTGACCGAGTGCCTGCCCTCAGTAACTGCTACAGCAAAATACTTCCTGCCTTACTAGTGCTCTTCCAGGGTGGGTAATTCATCATGTATAGATAAATATACGGCTCTAAGTATTGTATACAATATAGATAAATATATGGCTCTAAGTATCGTATAGAATATAGATAAATATATAGCTCTTAGTATTGTATAGAATATAGATAAATATATGGCTCTAAGTATTGTATACACTATACAATATAGATAAATATATGGCTCTAAGTTTCGATGTCATTCATATTAGATGTGATTATTAATATTATACTTATGTTAATAATAACAGAATAATAGTGGTAATGGTGTGTTGTTGATGCAGGACTGAAGAGGGCGTATGCGGCCAAGGCAGCTGAGGAGAACAATGATGATGATGATGACGACGATGATGACGATCCTTCTGACCTGGAGAACGAAGCCCTGGACAGCGACGAGGACGAACTCAATGAGAATGAATCTTACCTCGAGAACCTCAGGGACCACATCGACAGCCAGGGCTGGGGCATCACCACGAGCATACAGGTGGGGCATAAGCATACAGGTGCCTAGGGTGGTGTACCAGCATACAGGTGCCTAGGGTGGTGTACCAGCATACAGGTGCCTAGGGTGGTGTACCAGCATACAGGTGCCTAGGGTGGTGTACCAGCATACAGGTGCCTAGGGTGGTGTACCAGCATACAGGTGCCTAGGGTGGTGTACCAGCATACAGGTGCCTAGGGTGGTGTACCAGCATACAGGTGCCTAGGGTGGTGTACCAGCATACAGGTGCCTAGGGTGGTGTACCAGCATACAGGTGCCTAGGGTGGTGTACCAGCATACAGGTGCCTAGGGTGGTGTACCAGCATACAGGTGCCTAGGGTGGTGTACCAGCATACAGGTGCCTAGGGTGGTGTACCAGCATACAGGTGCCTAGGGTGGTGTACCAGCATACAGGTGCCTAGGGTGGTGTACCAGCATACAGGTGCCTAGGGTGGTGTACCAGCATACAGGTGCCTAGGGTGGTGTACCAGCATACAGGTGCCTAGGGTGGTGTACCAGCATACAGGTGCCTAGGGTGGTGTACCAGCATACAGGTGCCTAGGGTGGTGTACCAGCATACAGGTGCCTAGGGTGGTGTACCAGCATACAGGTGCCTAGGGTGGTGTACCAGCATACAGGTGCCTAGGGTGGTGTACCAGCATACAGGTGCCTAGGGTGGTGTACCAGCATACAGGTGCCTAGGGTGGTGTACCAGCATACAGGTGCCTAGGGTGGTGTACCAGCATACAGGTGCCTAGGGTGGTGTACCAGCATACAGGTGCCTAGGGTGGTGTACCAGCATACAGGTGCCTAGGGTGGTGTACCAGCATACAGGTGCCTAGGGTGGTGTACCAGCATACAGGTGCCTAGGGTGGTGTACCAGCATACAGGTGCCTAGGGTGGTGTACCAGCATACAGGTGCCTAGGGTGGTGTACCAGCATACAGGTGCCTAGGGTGGTGTACCAGCATACAGGTGCCTAGGGTGGTGTACCAGCATACAGGTGCCTAGGGTGGTGTACCAGCATACAGGTGCCTAGGGTGGTGTACCAGCATACAGGTGCCTAGGGTGGTGTACCAGCATACAGGTGCCTAGNAATACAGCGCAGTGGAGGTGAGCAGGACAATACAGCGCAGTGGAGGAGAGCAGTGAGCTGCAGTCGCCCTCACGAGCTCATATGTCAGTTGTCCCTCACAATGCCACCTGCAGAGCACCTCGCAGAGCTGACACTATCCTTTAGCATATCAGTGAACATGTGTTTCTTTAATGACCTCATAGGAGGTGAGTGAGAGACATGATCCTATTAGGTAATGATAATAGGAGACATAACCCCTGCATATTTAGTACCCCTAATCTCATCATTTCGAACCTCTATTACCATTCCATATTTCGAACATTAGAACCACCGATCCCTGATAGCCTGTAACTCGTTATGTCTTACTTATAGCCTGTAACTCGTTATGTCTTACTTATAGCCTGTAACTCGTTATGTCTTACTTATAGCCTGTAACTCGTTATGTCTTACTTATAGCCTGTAACTCGTTATGTCTTACTTATAGCCTGTAACTCGTTATGTCTTACTTATAGCCTGTAACTCGTTATGTCTTACTTATAGCCTGTAACTCGTTATGTCTTACTTATAGCCTGTAACTCGTTATGTCTTACTTATAGCTTGTAACTCGTTATGTCTTACTTATAGCTTGTAACTCGTTATGTCTTACTTATAGCTTGTAACTCGTTACGTCTTGAACTTGCTTATTGCTTGTAACTTGTAAATCAGATTCATGACATGTAGTTTCTTATCATCACTGCTGAGTTGTAATGCAGGTTTTCTCCCGCAGGTTACAACTTCCAGCAAGTTTCAGTGCCAGCTAGTTTCAATTTCGGTGGATCTTTCGGAGGGGCCTAGTGACAGACACTAGCTGCTAGCCCCCCTCCCTCAACAAGCCTCTAGTAACTATAGCATAATTAGTGTAACTAGCGCGGCACTGTGACCAACTAGAGCTTTTTGTGTGGTCTGTGGTCCGTGGTGCTGTGTGGTCCGTGGTGCTGCGTGGTCCGTGGTGCTGTATGATCAGTGGTCCATGGTGCTGCGTGGTCGGCTACGCATACGGGGCTGTGTGGTCCACGGTGCTGTGTGATCCACGGTGCTGTGTGGTCCGTTCTCCTCAGTGTTGTGTGGTCCGCTACGCATACGGTGCTGTATGGTCCGTCCTACACAGTGCTGTGTGGTCCGCTACGCATATGGTGCTGTGTGGTCTGTTCTCCACAGTGCTGTGTGGTCTGCTATGCATATGGTGCTGTGTGGTCCCTTGCCTGTCCACAGTGCTGTGTGGGTCCCTAGCGTTGTCCACATTTCTCTGTGGTCCATCGTGTGTGGGGTTGGTATAAGCCTAGCGCCGCTGCACCGTATCTCTACAGTCCCACTTAGTCCAGAATTCTTCAAATTAACATAATATTCATCAATATTTTCCCTCCAATAACGTAAATGGCTGTGGTTGGTCACTGTGTCGCTGCTGAAGCTGTAACTTGCTTTTAGGTAAAACTATTGTCCATTTATTGCTGTCTAGAGTGTCTGTCCAGTGTGGGACATTGCGTACTCTTTGGGGAATAGACGGGAAATTTGGGGATAGACGGTAAACACAATCGTTAAACGAAGGTTTTTCTGTCAACGTGTCAGACGGTTTGAAGTATAGTTCTGTCAGACGGTTCTGTCAACTGACTAATGGCGATGTTTGTCAGGCTTCCTAGGTCTCAGCGCGTTTTCGGAACGCCTTTTTTTCTTTATTTATTGACATTTTGTGACTTTTCACTGTTTTATCTGTTTGGTCTTGACATCTGTTGCTGCACGGCCTGTACACCTGCTGTGCACCTGTTGCTGCACGGCCTGTACACCTGCTGTGCACCTGTTGCTGCACGGCCAGTACACCTGCTGTGCATCTGTTGCTGCACGGCCAGTACACGTGCTGTGCATCTGTTGCTGCACGGACAGTACACCTGCTGTGCACCTGTTGCTGCATCTGCTTCCAGCAAGATGGCTCTGAATTTAGATTATTTATTTCAGTCACGACTTTTTCATGGTAATTTTCTGTCTGCCTGCCGCTGCCTTCATCTGTCTGCCTGTCTGACATGCTCTGTCAATGACCGTTTGCCTGTCACGGTTGGCTGTTGCGTTTCATTGTTCGAGATGACCTTGACTGCACGGCCAGTACACCTGCTGTGCATCTGTTGCTGCACGGCCTGTACACCTGCTGTGCATCTGTTGCTGCACGGCCAGTACACCTGCTGTGCACCTGTTGCTGCATCTGCTTCCAGCAAGATGGCTCTGAATTTAACTCATTTATTTCAGTCATGACTTTTTCATTGGTAATTTTCTGTCTCCCTGCAGCTGCCTTCATCTGTCTGCCTGTCTGACATGCTCTGTCAATGACCGTTTGCCTGTCACGGTTGGCTGTTGCGTTTCATTGTTCGAGATGACCCTGAAAATCAAGGTTATTTACGTGGGTCATTGCTTTCATGGTTTATTTTCTATCTGTGTCTGCTTGTCACGCTCTGTCTGTGACTCTCTGCCTGTCTGTCACCAAGTCTGTCGTTGGAGGGCATTACGTTGATGTGCGAGCCTCGCTCCCGTCAAAAACCATCTTCATCGGAGGAACATGTGTTTTGTGTTGGCTGTGTGGCCGTCTGTGTATCAATGTACACGCACACAGCGCTTGTGTGGGGCGGGTCTACCGTGTACTCTTAATTTGTATACTCTGTTTTAATTTGTGTTTTTCTTTCCCTCTATCGCGTTCAATCCATTTGCTCAAGAATTCATTATGCATTTCAATACTTCATCTTTATTCATGTTATAAGTTCTTAGTCATTTATTTAATCTAATCTTGCTATGTTTCCGTTATTCTTTACAGCTTCGTTTGTGTCTATTTCTATGAAGTTATTCATGGTTGTATTGTACCAGCCACCGCCCACCCATCCTGCTTTATTTTGGTGTTAACCTCCCTGCAGTAATAATGGTCTCTCCCATTAACACAACCTCATCAATAATTACATGTTAATGGTCGCACTCATTAACATAGCCTCCGTCATAATTACCTGTTAAGACGACATGTCAAGCACGGCTAAGGAGGTATTAATAAAGATTTGCTTCCTGCGCCTCATGGTTTAAAAAATGTGAACTTCTGGTCTGCTGGTGTCGCGTGGGCCCTCGGTTTCGTGGCCCTCGGTCTCGTGCCCTCGGCCTCGTGTGTCTCGGCCTCTTGGCCCTCGGTCTCGTGAGCCTTGGCCTCGTGACCCTCGGCCTCGTGGGCCCTGGCCCCTTTACCCTCGGTCTCGCCACCATTTAATTATTGACGATATTGTTACGTCCCTCGCCTGCTCCTCGAAAGTCTGACCCTCACGGGTGGGGCGGAGCGACCCCACGGCAAATTAGCGCCAGCACGGACAGTTTATTCTCGGAAGTCATTACTTTCTCTGTGGGAAAATTATTCTCTACATTGCATTAAATGCTCTCCATTGATAAATTTAATGACAAACTTCTTATTGGACGACCACGCAGCAAAAAATGTTTGTTGCTCGGACAGATTTCTCGTGACATTTATGCTCCGCGCTCCAAATTCTCCTCCCCGTAAACAACAGCAGCTTCAACTTCAATGGGTTTTTCGTTCGCATTGTTGACACGCTGTCACGTGGAGGGAATTTCTCGTCGATGTTGACACAATGTTGTTGACAACAAGCGATGTGCGGCCATCATCGCTACGTAACCATCAATATGTATAACCATTATATTAAAAAACCTTCAAAAATAAAACCTTCATCGTCTTCCATCGATGGGAAAATCTTCAAATTTCATTTGTTTTCTTAATTAAATTCTGCTTTCCACTCGTCATTTCTTTCCATACTCTCCTTGTGCCCTACTCTACTTTCGTCGTATATTTTCAAAAGATCTGCTTAATTTGTTCGTTTGTTATGAAGAGAAAATGAGTGTAGAGGAAAGATTGACACTTACCAGTCAGAGGAAAATAGTTACTGCGTGTGATGTAAAACG